TATACAAAAATCAATGTCATTGCAAATGAAAAGAGTTTTTGCTTTTCTTTTTTCAGTCTGGGTGACCCTTCTTATTTCTTTTTCTTTCTGTCTTTCAGTAGCAGACCTCTTCTGCATATGTTTTGAAAATGACAAGGTAGGATTCCTTGTCTCATTCTTTGACTTTTAGGGGAAAATGCATTCCAATCCTTTCCACATCAAGTATTGATATTGCTGTTGGGCTTTTCATAGAATGTACTTTGTGGTAGATTGGAGGGATTTCTCTCTATTCCTAATTTTTAAATGTTTTTATATCCATGAAACGTCTGTTAGATTTTGTAAAAATACTTTTTCTTCCTCATTAAAGATTATTTGTTCCGGTACCTTTTAAATATGGTGTTTCCATCAATGATGTGGTTTTTGGATGTTAAATTAACCTGTAAATTCCTGGGGAAAAGTCTTCCTTGGTCATGGCATGTAATTCTTTTTTATAGTGTTGTTGGAGTCTGCTAGTATTTTTTAGGATTTTTGCATCTTATATTCATAGGTTGTATTAGTCTGTACGTTTTCTTCTTTTTGATGCCTCTGTCTGGTTATTGGTATCAGGGTAAATACTGCGCCTCATAGGAATGAGTTGTGGAAGTGTTCCTTTCCGGTTTTTTTTTAGAAGAGTTTTTGAAGGAGGATTAATTCTTGAAAGTTGGGAAGATCTCACCATGTGAACCTGTCATGGGCCTGGTCTTTTCGTTTGTGGTAAGTTTTTCATTACTGTAATTCGATCTCTTTACTTTGGTTTGGGTCTATTCATTATTTTCTTCATCTTGAGTGTCAGTTTAGTATTACACATGCTTTTGTATTCTTGGTTCTAGAAATTTGTCCGTTTCATCCAAGTTATCTAGGTTGGTTAGTAATCTAGATGTTGGCCTACAGTGTGTTCATTAAGTATTGCTATATATCCTTTATTCCTTATTACTCCGTAAAGTCAACAGTAAATGATATCTCTGATTTCATTCCTGATTTTAGTAATTTGAGTCTTCTTTTTTTTTTTTTTTTTGGTTCATCATTTTAGCGAAAGATTTGTCAGGTTTATCTTTTTGAAGAAACAGTTTTTGGTTTAATTGATTTTTCTTTGTGGTTTTTATAGTTTCTATTTTCCTTATTTCCACTCTGTGGTTGTCTCTTTTGTAGCCTTCTGCTGGCTTCGGATTTAGTTTCTCTTCTTTTGAGGTTTGTTGAAGTCTGAGGTTATATTACTGATTTGAGATAGTTATTTTTAAAATAGACATTAATAGCTGTAAATCCTCCCCCCAGCACTGCTTTGGTATGTTGTTTTTGCATTTTCATACCTCTTAAATACTTTCTAATTTCTGTTATTCCTTTTTCCGTTAGCTTTTTAAATGTGCTATTATACTTACACACATTTGTGAATCCCCCAAATTTTCTTCTGTTATTGATTTATAGTTTAATTCTTCTGTTGTTGGAGAACGTATTTTGTATGATTTTAATCTCTTTGACTGTATTGTATCTTGTTTTATGGCTTAGTATATAGACTGTTTTATAGAATATTCTTTAAGTGCTTGAGAAGAATGTGTATTCTGCTCTTGCTTAGTGTAGTGTAAAGTAAATGTCCATTAGGTCTAGTTTGTTTATAGTTTTGTGCAAGTATTCTATTTCCTTTTTAATCTTCAGTCTAGTTCTGTTGGTTTTAAAAAATAGGATGATCTTGCAAGTACTTTGAATACAAGTTATCTTACAATTTTCTTTCAAACCAAAGAGCTAAGACTGAGGGACGATTAATGATGACTAAAATTTCCCTTGTGGTAAATATTTTGTAGTAAATACATACTTCCTCTATAGCTGCTCTTCATGGCTCATCATTGGTCATGCCCATAGATCTTTGCATGTTAGAAGCTTATTTTTACATTTGTGATGTTATAAAAAGACAACCAGAAGATTTAGCTACTTTGTTACTAATCTCTCCAAAACAAATTCTCCTACTATGCTTGATATGCTGGGTGGGTAATTTTCAATTTAATAGATTCTTCCTTGTGTTTGGAAACTACTTTAAAACAAAATTTAAATTTTGTGAAAATGAATTTTTTTTGTTTTTAATTCTTTTGTAGAACGAAAAGGGTCTTGGTCAGAGAGGAGGAATTCTAGTATTGTTGGCAGACGATCACTTGAAAGGACGACAAGTGGAGATGATGCTTGTAACTTGACGACCTTTCGACCAGCTACTCTCACAGTGACAAACTTTTTTAAGCAGGTATTGTTCTGTCATGTAGGAATTTTGGGGAGATGTTTGTGCATGATTTTTTTTTAGTTTCAGAAAGGTAGTAATTGTACTGTACATGTATGCGAGGGTGATTCCAGGAAACTTAAAAACTTTAAAAATAATAAAAGCAACTGTAAGAATGAGAAATGATTTATATTGTTCCTATTATTTTAGCATTATATTTATTTAAATGTTGAAATGTTGGCCATAACTAATAATGCATCAAAATCCATCTTTCGTATTTGTATCCTGTTTTTTTTTGCAACGGAGTCTCGCTGTGTTGCCCAAACTGGATTACAGTGGCACGATCTCAGCTCACTGCAACCTCTGCCCCCCGGGTTCAAGCAGTTCTCCCTGCCTCAGCCTCCTGAGTAGCTGGAATTACAGGTGCCCACCATTCCCAGCTAATTTTTTATTTTTTATTAGAGACAGGGTTATGCCATGTTGGCCAGGCTGGTCTTGAACTCCTGACCTCAGGCGATCCGCCTGCCTTGGCCTCCCAAATTGCTGGGATTACAGGCGTGAGCCACCATATCCAGCCTGTATCCGGTTTCCAAATTGTTAATAGTGTGACTTTTCTTAAACATTGGTTGTTTATGAATTTTCTTTATGAGAATGAGTCTGTGACCTGCATGTCTTCCCCACAATTTCTGGCCTAAACTACCGTATTCATAATATATGAAATAAAACTTTCAGGCCCTAGTAGTGCATTTTGTACTAAAGTGAGGTCAGGGTTGTTTTTAGAGGTTAATGTATAGATCCAAGATGTTCTCTATCAAAGATGTTTTTACTCTTTGCAAACCTGTTCCCTTCACTTTTAACCATGAATCAAATCTGTGTTTTTCCAGTGCCAGTCATGATTCTTAATGATAATGAAAATTGGCTTAGTAGATAACACCCAGGTTAAAAAAGAAAATAAAACATGAGTAGAATAGAAAAAATAGTGCATTGCATGTAGTAAGGTTAAATATTACTTAAGGGAGTCGTTTCCCCCCTCCCCCTTTTGTATGAGCATACACATGTGTATATGTATATCCTAGATTTTGATGTAAAATGGATTCTGTGTCATGAATTAAGATCAGAAAATTTTGAAAGTCTTTGTTGTAAGTGACTAGGTGACTAGAACCATATAGGAATGGGGAGAAAATTTGTATTCACGTAACAAACTGGAGTAGTATGTGATTTGGAGTGGATTAAGGGAAAATGCTAATAGTTCCTTCAAAATTCCTTTTTCTGAGATGTTATTCTGAGGAAGAAGAGGAAATCCTGGCTTACTGATATCTCATAACTTGAGAGGGCAAGAATCGAGGGTAGACCTCTATTGAATGGAACTCAAAAAGACAGGTAGCAATCTACTTGAAGTCCCCTTCACTGTTACATATCAGTAGTATTCACAGGCAGCTGCTCTGAGAAACTCAGGAAAAAAAGCCAGTGATAAATGTCTCAAATGGTATTGGTCTTTTTATTATGGACAGTAATAAAAGAGAGTCTAGAGAAGACTACACTTGCATAAAGTGATAGACCAGATATAGCTATGGAAATGGGGCAGTAGATTTGCTACAGTGACACAACCTTGTAGGTATGTTACTTCCCCCTCTTTCTACTTCTTTAGCTACTATACTACTTCTGCTGGTATTTCCTTCCACAGCTTTCTTTTCATTTCTTTAGCCTGTTATTTATCAATAAATTGGTATTGTAAGCTTAAATCAATAAGCCATCCACCCCCTGTCTATTTATCCAACAAGTATTTTTTGAGCATTCGTCACCATGTTCTGGATGCTGTTTTGAATACTGTTACTATAACTGTGAAGTAGCACAAAATGATGTGAAAACTTAAAAATAAATGATTGCTGGAAACATGGAGCAGTGGAAAATGTTTACAGTACAGAAACTGTTTAATACAGTTCTGTATTAAAAATTTTTAACCATGAGCATATACTATTTTTGTAAGTATTTTTAAGTAGCTAGAAAAGTATGCATCAGGCAAATGCAAATTAAGTTAAAAAAAGAGATTACCATTTTAATTAAGTAGAATTCAAGGCATAGATTTTTCCCTAAATGAGACACAGAAGGCAATTTTTCCTTTTTCATTTATGAGAGATTACTGTCTACAGTAGGGATATAGTAATCATTAGTGTTTACGTACAGATTTAAAATGTGTTGGCCAGGCATGCTGGCTCATGCCCGTAATTCCAGCCCTTTAGGAGGCCAAGGCTGGAGGGTCGCTTGAGCCCAGGAGTTTGAGGCCAGCCTGGGCAACATGGTGAGACCTTGTTTCTATAAAAATGAAAAATATTAGCTGGGCGTATTGGCGCATACCTGTAGTTCCAGCTACTTGGGAGGCTAAGAGGGAAGACTTTCTTGAGCCCAGGAGGTTGAGGCTGCAGTGAGCAATTATAATGCCACTGCATTACAGTCTGGGTGACAAAGTGAGGTCTTGTCTCAAAATAAATAAATAAAATATGTGAAGTCAAAATTATTAGAAACACATAGATATTTAAAAGCAAAAACCCACACAATAGTTTTGAATACATTTGTTGTATTTGTTGACAGATATGTAAGTTATCTATTTTTTTCAGTGGTACAGGACAATAAACAACTAATGTAGAGGAAAGGGTATCAGCGAGACTGCTCCAGTGAACTAGGCTCAATCACAAGTTTGGAGGTTGGCTGAGATCAGCTAATATAGGCTGACTTCTACTGGGAAGATAGAAATGACTCGACTCTTTGACATGTCTCTCAAATTCTACCCTCATCTTCTAGCAGGCTAGCTTGGTCATGTTCTCATAGCTGTGACAAAAGTTCAAGAGAGAGAGCAAACTAAATTGTGCAAATGTTTTTCAAGCCTCTGTTTGCATCATGTTTGCTTATTGGCAAAGCAAGGCATTTGGCCAAGCCTAGGGAGGGAATTGTGCTTCACTCACCAAAAAGGCATGGAAACAGGGAGTAAAGAATGGAGACCAGTAATATAATTTAAGTACCAAAAGAGAAAATATAATTTAATGGGCGAAATAGAATAATGAAGACTAGAGATAATCTGAATATATTATGAATAAGGACCATTTAAAGATCTATATTAATTTCATGTGTTGGCACCTTGGTCTAAAAAAAATTTGTATTATTTCTGTATGCACAAGGAAAGAATATACTTTTTTGTCAACTGATGGAACATTTACAATAATTAGTTATATTGGGCCACTGAAGAAACCTTGTAAAGTCAAATTTTCTAACCATAACCCAGTAAAACTAAAAACTTTTAAAGTTATTAATAAAAAACTATAACCACTTAGAAATTAAAAATTATTTTTTCTAAATAATGGGATAAAAGAAGATCAATTCTATATCCTTGTTTAGAATATAATGATGAAAAACGAATGGGTTGTGGCTCAAGGTGAGTTAACAGTAATAAAGTAGCCTTAAATATATTCATTACCAAATAAGATAAAAGAACAATGTATGATATATGCATAAAACAATAAAATGTCAAAGCAGGAAGCTTGGATTAATCAAATCTAAAGACTGACTCTTCAATAAAATAATAAAAACCCTAGCTATTTTAATTGTAAGAAGAAAAAAAATTAACACTAAACTGAGCTTTTTTTTTTTTTTTTTTTTGAGGTCTCTTTTCATACTGGTTGAAGTCCTTTTGGAGTTTTCTTTCTGTCCTTAGTATCAGAATAGTTGTGATTTTCCTTAACAGTAGTTTTTTTCTCCTCCTTCTCCCCCTCCCTCCCTTATCTAATTCCTCCCTCCCTCTTCTTCCTCTCTCTTCCTCCTTTCTTCCTCCTTCTTCTTCACCTGAGCCAGTGCTGCAGATTTTGCATTGGAGAAATTTGTGATATAAAGTTGAAAACACAAATATGAACTCAAGAGTAATATATTTATGAGACTCAAGTATTTTTATATTAGTTTGCTTTTTGATTCTGTTTTATGTCTGTATTCTTATTTTGCTCTTCTCCTTTTCATCTATCTCTAACTTGTATTTGTTTTCTATATTTGAGAGTATTTTGTAATACTTTATAAGCATCGATAATGGAATATAGATAAGAAAAAAGATAATGGTATTATTAAATCTTAGTAAAATTTGAAAGCATAAAAAAGGAAATAAACTGATATATTTATAATCATAATTATTTTAATTTTATTTTTAATTCTGACTACATTGTAGGCATAAGGGTATGCTTACTAACAAACTATAAATTTATTTTTCATCTACTATATATATATATATATTTTTTTTTTTTTTTGAGACAGAGTCTTGCTCCATCACCCCAGCTAGAGTGCAGTGACACGATCTTAGCTTACTGCAGTCTCTGTCTCCTGGGTTCAAGTGATTGTCCTACCTCAGCCTCCCATGTAGCTGGAACTACAGACACGTGCCACCATGCCTGGCTAATTGTTTTTGTATTTTTAGTAGAGATGGAGTTTTACCATGTTGACCAGGCTGGTTTCGAACTCCTGACCTCAGATGATCTGCCTGCCTCGGCCTCCCAAAGTGCTAGGATTACAGATGTGAGCCACTGTGCCCAGTTATATTTGTTTTATCAAATACTTTTTCCTCTATCATTGACATCAGGAAGGAGACCGCTTAAGTGATGAAGATCTCTACAAATTCCTTGCTGATATGAGAAGGCCATCTTCTGTCTTACGGCGACTAAGACCTATTACAGGTATTTTAAAATGTTGAGTAGAAATGATTCCAGCTATTCTTATCACTAGTATGTTGTATTGCTTATAATTATGTATTCTTTTTTTTTTTTTTAATTTATCTGGCTCAGACATTTTTCTATGCTCAATGCCTGTCAGTCTTCTTCACTTTATTAACTATCGTGTGATCTGACAGTTTGGATGCAGGATTCAACATCTTTGGTACTTTGAGTACAGTAGTCCCCACTTACCTGTTGTTTCACTTTCTTTAGTTTCAGTTACCTGTAGTCAACCACAGTGTGAAAATATTAAGGTATTTGGAGAGAGGGAGAGAGAGAAAGAGACCACATTCATATAACATTTATTATAGTATATTGTTATAATTGCTGTGTTTTATTATGAGTTAGGGTTATTAATCTCTTACTTTGCCTAATTTATAAATTTAACTTCATTGTAGGCATGTATGTATAGGGAAAAACAGTATCTATAAGGTTGGGTACTCTCTGCAGTTTCAGGCATCCACTGGGGGTTGGATCTTAAAATATATCCCCAGCAGGTAGTGGGGGGGAATTACTGTACTAAAGTGAGTGTGATTAATAATATCATGGCTTAAAATTATTTTCTAGAATGGTAATAGAATGGTAAATATTTTAAAAATAGATTTATATTGTGGTTGGAGCAAACCATTCCAGAGTAAAAATGTCTTGAAGTTTGCTAACTCAAAACTAAGTCATTTAACCTTTGAAATGACTTAGCTTGTTTGTATGCCAGATCCCTGTGTTTTTTTTTTCTATTTTTGCTTCTTCCTTCCTTCATTCCCATTCATTTATTTAATAAGCATTTATTATTTTACATGCATTTATGTCTGATTCAGTAATTTTTAAGTTTGAGACTTTGGAAAATGAAATGATTTAGAGGTGTGAGATGATAATAATAGAAATTTGGTTTCTGTAATATTCTTCCCAGACTTCTTGCAAAAATAGGGTCTAAGTCCTTTCAAAAACATGTTTAACATGGAGTTTTAAAATTTTGTTTACATTGTTTTTTAATATATAATTTGCAGCTCAGCTCAAGATAGACATTTCTCCCGCACCTGAAAATCCCCATTATTGCCTAACTCCGGAGCTGCTTCAAGTGAAACTTTACCCTGACAGTAGAGTTAGACCTACCAGAGAAATCTTAGAGTTTCCTGCAAGGGATGTTTATGTTCCAAACACTACTTACAGGTAAGAGATTTTAATTTGGAGAATTCTGATAGAAGATACTGTATATTCTAAAATACTAAAGTATAACAAAAATAAAGCTCTCCAAAAATCTTAAGTAGTTTTGTTACTTAACTCTATCTCTTACTGCACAATTTTATTAGTAGTTTTCACGTATTAAGGCTTTCTGTCTGTCAGGTATAATGTTAATTACCTTACATGCTTTATCTTTTTTAGTCTTATTTAATCCTCATTATTTGAGGTGAATTTTAGCTTTATTTTAGAGGCGAGTAAACCGAGGGTTAGAAAGGTTAAACATTTTGCTGAGCATCACGCCTTAGCGTGGTGATGATGGGATTTGATTCCTGGGCTCTTAGGTTAAAACATTTGAACTCCTAATTACTATGTTTTCTCAAATGTTTTTAGTAGCAGAATCTAGCATTACACAAGAATCAAATTTATGTGCCTGCATTATGTTCTTTTTTTTTTTTTTCTGAGACAGAGTCTTGCTCTGTCGCCCAGGCTGGAGTGCAGTGGCGTGATCTCAGCTCACTGCAAGCTCTGCCTCCCGGGTTCACGCCATTCTCCTGCCTCAGCCTCCCGAGTAGCTGGGACTACAGGTGCCCGCCACCACGCCCGGCTAATTTTTTTTTGTATTTGTATTTTTAGTAGAGACGGAGTTTCACCGTGTTAGCCAGGATGGTCTCGATCTCCTGACCTCGTGATCCGCCCGCCTCGGCCTCCCAAAGTGCTGGGATTACAGGCGTGAGCCACCGTGCCCGGCCTGCATTATGTTCTAATCAATCAACAATATTTGTTGAGTATATACTATCTAGAGAGTACTTGACATGAAGTTGTCAGATATAACTTTTCAGGCTGAACATTAGGTAACTCTGGGGGTGCCATTTGCATGTACTCCTTATGAATGATATACCCTTTGCTTGTGAGTGCTGAGACCAGAACTTGACATGTCTGTTGGGATATTCAATAGGGCAGCTCAGGTATAAGATTCTAAAACAGAATTTTAGATTTCATCCTAGACTTCGCCATCCTGGTATATTTTTACCACCATTTACTGAGTTCCTGAGGACAAAATTTTTGGAATTATTATGATTTCTTTCCTTTCCTTACCCCTCACATTTATTTAGCCAACAAGTTACATAGGCTCTACGTTCAAAATATATCCTGGTCTGTACTGCTTACTGCTTCCACCTTTTAAAACTTCTAGTCTGTCACCATCTAGATCAGCACTGCCAAACAGAAATATAATGGGAACCACATTTGCAGTTTAAAATTTTGTAATTGCTACTTTAAAAAAAGAAACAGGTAAAGTTAATTTTAATCATATATGTCATCTAAACCAGTGTATCTAAAGTAGTATCATTTCAACATGTAATAAATGTTAAGAATTATTGAGATATTTTACTTCTTTTCTCTTCTGCTAACTTCAAAATCTGGTGTGTATTTTATACTTAAAACACATTTCAATTCAGATGAGCCACATTTCAAGTGCTTAATAACCTGAGGCTAAAGGCTACAATATTGGACAGCCTCTGATCTCGAATTTTGCTATCCTTTCTAATTTGGCTATCTTATTTCTACTTCTGTCTCAGTCACTTCTCAATATTACAGCCAGCCAGATAATTCTTTGAAAATTGTAAATCAAATCATTCATTCCTTTGTCTGAAATCTTCCAGTGTTTCTATTACAAGCAGAAAAAGAATGAATTTTTTCTAATAGTCTATAAGACACTGCATGATTTGGCTCCTTTTCTATGTGTTAGCGCTAAAACTCTCTGTAAAACTTCTTATAGTACAGTGAAATACATCAATAATCAACTATTTCCTCCCTTGCAGAGGAAGTTTTGTAGGCTTTTTAGGCTCACTGTACAATTGTCATCTTAGAGCCTATTTACTATTATCCTGGAAATTTTCTTTGCATTTTTTTTTTTTTTTTTGCAATAGAGTCCTTATTTTTCATATATTTTCCTTAGTTTACTCATTTCACTGAAAGGCTTTTGTATCTTTTGTATCTTTTTTTTTTTTGAGACGGAGTCTCGCTCTGTCACTCAGGCTGGAGTGCAGTGGCGGGATCTCGGCTCACTGCAGGCTCCGCCTCTCGGGTTCAGGCCATTCTCCTGCCTCAGCCTCCCGAGTAGCTGGGACTACAGGTGCCCGCCACCTCGCCCGGCTAGTTTTTTGTATTTTTTAGTAGAGACGGGGTTTCACCATGTTAGCCAGGATGGTCTCGATCTCCTGACCTCGTGATCCGCCCGTCTCGGCCTCCCAAAGTGCTGGGATTACAGGCTTGAGCCACCGCGCCCGGCCGATTTGTATCTTTCTTAAGTAGGATGTATGGGAGGTAAATTTTCTTTTATGTCTGACGTTATCTTTATTTTACCTTTACTCTCAAATTACTAGTTTTGCCGGGTATAAAATTATAAATTCTATGTCATTTTCTATCATAATTTTGAAAATATAACTACTGTCTTCTGGCTTTAAGTAGTGCCCTTGAGTAGTCCAATATTATACTGATTGCTAATGTTTTGTGTCTTATTTTTCCCTAAGACTTTTTGAGTTACTTTCTTTATCATTGGTGTTCTGCGATTTCATATTGACATATTGATATGATGACATTTATTTAGTGCTTTATAGAATACAATTTCATTTAAATTAGTTTATTCAGTCTCATAGAAATCTTATACATTATGTAATTCTGGCAGTATTATTATCTCCACTTCTACAGTGACAGAAGGCTGAATTAAGAGACTTATTTGGACTTGAACCCAAACCTTCTTATTTCATTTTCTGTGTTCTTCATCCTTTGGTATGGTAGGACATCTAGCATTCATAATTATATGTAATTTGAATAAAAATAAAATTTCTTACTGGTAGAGAATTGTTTGCTATTTTTTTATTAAAACTAACCAGAACACCTTTATCTTACATTAGCCTCAGAATCTACACCATTATTTATATTTGCTTAATATTTTTTAATGTCTTACAATTGATGTAAGTGAAACACTTGATATAAATGGATTCTAGGGTATCTTGTCTGTGAATTAATGGAAAATAGGGCCAATGTAGATAATTTAGACATGTTACAGAACTTGAATGGGAATCGAGTAGCGCGCTCATACCACATGAGAAGATACGTTGCCAAATAAGGTAGCACCTTGTTTTCTCTTAAGGATGTATCCAGTTTTAATGTAACATCCTCTTCTGGAGGAGATAAAAAGTTCATACATTGAATGATTTAAGGGGATTTTATAAATTATAAGTTAGTATGGTTTTGCTTTTTGAGTTTAATGGAAATTATGTAAACATGTATTAATGCTTGTTTAAGATCATTTGTTTATTTGGGTTTGCTTTTGGTTTTTAGGGTGGAATGCTTTATCACTTGAAGTGGTTAGTATTAGTAAGGCTAACTGATAGTCCAAAAACTATAATTAGTTTCTATTCTGGGAGTTAAATTTTTCAAGTATAAAAATGAATTATAGCATATTAATTTGAGAATGATGTTGAGAGATCATTTAATGTATCTCAGTGCCTTTAGTTTGGACTGTATCTAAACATTCTGTTAATTACAGAGTTAATACTCATTCCAGACATTATTAGTAAAAATAATATTGTAGGCAAGAAGCTTTTAAAAAAGGATTCATTAAATGTTTATAGAATAGCCATTTTTCTCTCATGAGTGAGCAGTTTATTTCCAGAGAGTAATAGAACTTGCTAAACTCATCATAAACATTAGAGTTACGCCTATTTAACATTTATTGAACATGAATACTGATTTAGGCTTTAATGTTTTTCATCAAAATGAATTGATTTCAAATTAGGGTCTTACATAACCTTATTCCTCCTTATGTACAGTTTATAAGGAACTTATATAAAATGCTTTAATCTGTTAACAGACATTGATGAAATGTGATATAGAATGTCAAGGGTACTAAGTTTCTTAGTTTATGGAAATGATCCTAGTGCTCTCTGTTAGTGGCATGTACCAGTGAGAGCTGTTGGAGCAAAAAGGATGCATTATTTTGTTTAAGAAAGAGATTAATAATTTTCTACTATAAGAGTGTCCTCAGCGAAGTAGAGAAAATTAGATACAACATGAAAATTCAGAAGTAGAATTGTGATTACTATACTTTGTTGACTTTTTTCCTGTTACTTTTTTTGCCAAATAGTTTCTTTAAAAAAATATGATTATAAAGTTGACTATTCCCTTTTAAAAATAATCGATCTCCAAATTACATAAAGAAACAATTTTTGTGTTACTTGAAATGGTATGACTATATGTGTAGCTTATGAAAAATTGGGAGATGGGCTCTTGTAACCAATTTTTTGTAACCATATTTCATTTTTAAGAATTACGATAAGGTCTCACTTAAAATTGTTAATAGGTTCTTGGAAACTAAGATATTAAGCTAAATGACATGTGATAAAAACATTTTTTTTCTCATCAATGTTACAACAAAACAATGCTGAACAAAATGATATTCAAAAATCTGCTGCACATGGTCCTTAAAGTCCTTTTCTTAAAGTCACAGTTTCCAAGAACATTATCCAGTGTCACAGTATGTATGATATTAAGTGAGGACTTACTGTATTTAAAACTGAGGAATGATTTTTCCTTCCTTTAACATGGGTATAATAAAGGTACCTATATCTTAGAAATCTATGAGGATTAAATACATGTAAAGTACATGGCACAAAGTAATGCAGTACATATTAAGTGCTCAATAGAAGTTGTTATTGTTTTTGGCTTGATTAGATTACATTTACTCATGCACTATACAACTTGAGAGAGATTGGTTTGAAAAGCATGAGGGTACTAGGCATTTGGGATATAATTGGATAAGAGAATTATTTTAAAAGGGAAGTTATCAGAGTCAATATTGCCCTGCTTTATATTATTACTTAAACCATCAATGTCCATGGGACCTTAAAACCAAATCATTAAAGGTTGTTTACTCTATTTGATGTTGTTAGAAAAACTTGGTCTCATGGACAGCTTATATGTTT